ATATTAATGACCATGGGAAGGGGGGAGTAGATTAGTAGCTATAAGAAAGGGTCAGGGGACAATAGAGACAATTCCATATTACTGTCCATGGTTTTGGAATGGGACGTCCAACCAGCTCATATAGATGTGATGGACAGGTGTCCACAAACCTGTGGCCATATAGTGTATATATAATTAATAACTATACATGAAAACAAGGTATTTAGAATGAACACACACACTTATCTCATCATTAACAGCAAGGTTTTACACATATATGTAAACTACTTTAAAAGACAATACATTTCCTAGAAATGTTTGTTCCTTCCAATGGCCACCCTTCCCCCTCTTCCCTACCATGGCACTGCTGGGATGCTCGGAAATAGAGCAAAAAGAGGTTTCATTCCCACAATATAACAAAGGCCTCCCAAGCAAGGTGTGCAAGCCTTGCTGTCAAAGGGCAGGGAGGTGCAGACCCAAAATGTCACAGGTACTGGGTGACCTGTTAGCCGACCTCCCACTACAGGGAAAGGAGGGAGAACGGAATCACTGAGCTGTTTTAGTGACATTGACAGCCGCTTGTTTTAAAACAATATCTGGCATGATGAGACCTGAATGAAAAGGCCTTGTACCTGATCATCACTCCGATATTCTAACAAGAATTGCCGCATTACCCGTCCTCCCCTTAAGAGAGAATCTCGTGGCCTCGGCGATCGTTAATGGTGAGTAATGAGTCCTCTGGGTCTTTGAGGAGCAATCGTCCAGTTCACCTCTCCCTATTCACATAGTTAAAATCTCCGAGATGTCAATTACGAGCTGATAAACTCCGCATTAAAGGGTTGCTATGGAAACAAGCATCTTGGAAAGGCAAAAAAGGGGCAGTTTGTCAGGAGGCGTGTGCGTGGCGATATTGTGCTGAGCTGCAATGCTTTGTGGGCTTCATTGTTTACAAAACATCTCAAAGAGAGTCACCATAGAATATGGATATTGTTGGATTCTCCATCGGAGTATATTGGGGATTATACAAGCCATGATGGAAGGGGGGGGGGGGGGGCATTGAAAACAAAAAAATTTTGC